ACCTACTTGACATTAGGCATTATTTCCAAGTGGTAAAAGGAAAGGGTGGAGAAATACAGCTTTGCTTGAGGCTGTCGCGTCAAGGGTTCAAATTCTGAAATATGAATTTGGCTCTTGGGTAAGTGCAAGTGTACAAGCAGCCTTCCACCCTATACCCTTGGAGGCATAACTTGCGATTTACCTCCCTCACGATTCTCCAGGGCAGAGGCGGTGGGGGACCCTCAAGGTTGGGGTTCAACCTTTTTTTTTTTTAGTCGCCGCTAACTTTTTATTAAACTAAAAAGAAAATTTGAATTCCATAATTATGGCAAAATAAACTTAAACAAGCTACTTTTTGTTTGATAGGAGAAATTCTCCATGGAATTTCATTTTTCAATTTTAAGGGTGTTTCATGATTTTATTTTTTTCATGGAAATGAAATTTTTGGTTGCCTTGTCACATAGGATTTTTCTTGATTTTCCCGGTTACCGTAACAATTTTTTTTTTTTTTTTGGCAATGGAATTAAATTTTATCTCTAATTGTAAAAAAAAAAATCATTTAATTAATAATTTTCATGTAAAACAAAGTTAAACGAAAATAAAAAAATAGATGATTTTCTTGAATTTTTTTGGACAATAGAAACAAATTTCATCCCCAATACCAGTAAAATTTATCCATTTAATTGACAATTTACCTACACGGTATCATTTTTTATTTTTTTCTGAATACTTGAAATTGATCTACAAAAACACCTTTTTTCTGGCAGCAAATATACGAAAAGACAATCATTCACAAATGTTAAGTCTTTTTGTGTCACAAAGATATCTGTCGTGGTAATTTATATAGACATTTCTTCATTTTAAAAAAACATTATACAGAGTTATATAGCACTTCAAGCATTAAGCACTAGTCCAGTTAGTAATGGATTCCACTATTTAAAATTCGCCATGTTGGTTTTGTGACCAAATTCGGTCTCGGGTTGCGCGTTTTAGAGTATTAGGCTTGAAGATGTCAAAATCAAGAAGGAAGAGTCGGATTTACACCGCTGGACATTTGGAAGCAGTAACTAGCAAGTTGACGTTGAGCTGTCACTCGAGCGAGCGACAAGTGCGTCGCTCAAATGTGGCTCGAGTGACTGCGCTGCACAAGTTTTCGATTTTTTTGATTTTACGTGCATTTTAAACCTAGTTTCCATCTTTTAGGTTATTTCTAGAGTTTGGTACATCCCCTATATTTAGGAGTCTCTTCTTCCAGTTTTATGTAATTGTTGTAACAGTATTTTTCTCTTCATTGGTTGTCAATTAATAAAATTATTCGGTTCCTTTGCTAATCACTTTTTTACATTAATCTTGTTATTGCTTGTGCAATTAACACTTCATATTGTGTCATATAACGTCCATGTTTCCCAACAAGTGGTATCAAAACTATTGGTTCTGTTTTTTGTTTGAGGTTAAGAAATTTCCCTTTTAGATCGCAATACAAGATTTTTCATTGTGACAATTGAAGATACAAGCTGTATTGACGCAAATGAATTTAAATGATGCGATTGTTAGGATTTGACATGATGTCCACAACTTGGAGAAGAGGAAAGAAGCAATGGAAGACACTTTCGCAAATTCATATTCATTTATCTAACAACATTCTTTAGGACGTTTTGAAGGAGAAGACAACTATTGCATTGTGGTTGATGTTGGAGCAACTGTGCATGGCCAAACATTTGATAAGCAAGTTGCATCTGAAGCAGGGGCTATATTCTCATTGCATGGCAGAAAGGAGATCTTTGGAAGACTGTCTGGCTGTGTTCAAGAAGATCGATACTGATCTCGAAACGTTAGAAGTAAAATATGATGAAGAGGATCTGGCCTTAATTCTGTTGTGCTCATTGCTTGCTTTTTTTATCGTTCAGAGACACGATTCTGTACAGTCGTGACACACTCACCATTGAAGATGTGTATGATGCCTTGTTCTCAAGGGAGAAGATGAAGCATCAGATTAGGGTTGAGTTCAAAGGTAAAGAAGCTCTCGTAGTTCATGGTGATCGACAAAAGGGTAAGTCAAGGGTGAATTTCAACAATCAAGTTTGTTTATTTTGCAAGAAGAAAGGACACGTTAAGGGAGATTGCAAAAACTTGTAGAATAAAGATACTTCGACTACAAATTGTGGGAAACAATCAAACAACTCGGACAAGACCAACATACTTGAGGACTATTTGAGTGATGGAGATGTCTCGACAATTTCTAACATGGAATCAAAACTTGACGAGGAGTGGATTTTGGATACTGCTTGTACGCTTTGTATGCATTTCGATCGGGAATCGTTTAAAGCATAAGAAACGGTGACGCAATGTGTTATTGTCATGGAAAACAACGAACCTTGTCGGGTAGCTGATATTGGTAGGACAGATTGAAATTGATGGATTGGATATTAAAACACTTGGCCAGATTCGACATGTTCCAGATTTGAAATAGAATCTCAATCGCTAAGCACCCTTGATTCAAAGGGTTATTAGTTCTCTGGAAGAGGTGGAGTTTTGAAGGTTCGAATGGATGTCCATATTGTATTAGAGGTGCGAAGAAGGTCCCGATTATATATCTTGCAATGTCGCATAGAATTGGTGAAGAATCATCAGCACAGATTTAGTATCATAGTGGATGTACAGTTTGGTAGTGTACCTTCAAGAGTTGGCTCTGGGTCATTATTGAAGAACATTACTCGGTTGAGTTTGGAGGATATGGATAATTTCACTTTGCCACCATTGTCAGGGGTGCCATCTTGTTCAATGCTAAGGAATGAACCATTGAGGATAGGTACGGGGATGTTGATTTGGTTGCATATGCTTTTAGGGGTTTTAAAAGTGTCAAGACTAGCAAGGAGCCTTCAGTTAAAAGCACTTATAGTTGATTCTGCTACAGGGTGTGTTTCGATCCTATTTGGTAAATTTTGAACACTTGGTGTTTGGGTTTGGATATCATTTGAGGATACTGTAGAAAAGGAAGAGTAGTTTTTCGTGAGATGGAGAAATTTGGTTCTTGTTGAAGAGTTCAGTTTATTTCGCTAGAGTTGGACTTATTTTTTCAGTGGAGAAATTTTAGAGTTTAGTTCATTGTATCGAGATTTGTGTCAACGTAGAGATTATTGGGTTTATGACCAAAACTTGGTCTAGGGTTGTGTGTTTTGGAATATTGGGCTTAAAGGTCCAAGAGGGAAAAGTCGGATTTATGGCGCTGGAGGTCGCTTGAGCAATAGGTGAACCTTTAGAGGGAACGAGCTGTCGCCCACTTGTCGTCGAGCGACGATGCCACACGAATTTTGCTCTTTTTTCCGTTTTATGCGTATTTTTTTACCTAATTTCCATCTTTTAGGTTATTTCTAAGATTTGGGGCATCCCATATAAATAAGATACTCTTCTTCCTGATTGTGTAATTGTTATAACAATATTTTTCTCTTCATTGATTGTCAATTAATAAATCAAGGTCCCATTTGTCAATCTCTAATCTTGCTTTAATATTATTCTTACTTGTGCGATCAATACTTCATATTGTGTCATATAACTTCCCTGTTTCCAAGACGTTAAGATTAAAAAATACTAGTAATCGCTTGTTGAGACAATAGATCCCGCTACTATTTAAATTTATGTTTAACTAAACTTGCACTATTCTGTATAATACACTCGTGAGGTTTGTTCTACTAATAGAAAAATCATGATTTTAAATACTTTTCTCCTCCAAAAAAGTAGTTTATAACTGCTATTATAAAACAAAATAAAATATAAAAATATGTCTTTCTCTAATTGCGTAACATAATTCTTGAGAGCAAATTCAGACATCTCAGGTTGGCTGGGCTATGGGGATTGGGAATTTTGTATAATACGAATATGCTTGGTTCAATGGCAGGAAGACTCGTGGATAATAATCGAGGTAGTTATCTCTACATTCTAACCAATAATTCAGTAAATAAAAAGAAAATGGATATGGACCTATTGTGTATTTTAGTTTCGCAAGTGTACGAAGCGTAACAAGTAATAGTGGACCTAAGAGTTCGGATTGTCGATCCCACAAGGATTATTTTTTAGCACTTAATGCAATTTTTTTCTTTAACTACTATTTGATGGAAATTAATTAAAAATTGTATGATTTGAGTTTTAATCTAAAATCTAGAAAATAAATGAATACTCACACGATTGGTTGGAAAATGAAATAATGAATAGATGCTAAGACTGAATAACTACACCTACTGATCACCTTTACATCTCAAATTAAGATTCAATTCTAATGTAGTGTTCAGTCGAATTATCGCATTGTATTCAATTTACCCGAGTTTTCATTGAGTTTATTCAACTAATTAAATTTTATATCTCTATGCAAATTCAACTCAGTTAAATGAGTTCTACTTAGTTAAACGAGTTCTTTGTCCTAGGAATTCAATTATGACCGCAATAAATGATATATGTATCTCCACTCGTTATACCAATGTACTGAATTTTAATATATGATCTAAATCCTAAACTCATATATCTAGTTGTAAAGAATTCACAAAAATCATCAAATTATTGATCAGATAATTTAATACATTCAACTTATAGCAAAATTAGCACATGGAAAAATTAAGAACTAAGAATCTTAATAAAAGAATGTAAAGGATCCCAATTGGTTACATTATTCGCCATAACAATAAATTTAACTATTCATAATGCAAGAAGAAATATAGTAAATTGTCTTATAATACATCACCGGATCTGTAACAAAGATGTAGAAGAAAAAGTAAAATTCTTGTACCAAGATCTTCTTTTCCTTCCAATCAATGCTTCAAATCTTCAATTGCTTGGTGTTATTCTTCTTGAATTTCTCTTTTTAATATCCCTTTTTGTTGTCTTGCCTCCCAATGTGTGAAGAACCCTTCAAAAGTATGAGAAATATGTATTTATAGGTACCCCTTCTTTTTGTGTAAAAAGTAGGCTTTTATGGACTTTAAAACAGCTCAAAAATGCGTCCTAGATGACCCAGACGTAGCGCCTAAATGCTAGGATCCAGCGCCTAAACGCCGCATCAATGTAAGCGTAGCGCCTAGATGTTGATGGTAGCGCCTGGACGCTATGATTGCAGCGCCTAGGCGTTGTCTTTTTGTTCCAATTTCCTTATTTTTGATCTCTTCATCCGTTTTAGTTCCTCTTTTTGCATCGCTTTTCCTAATCTTCAAAACAACACTAACAAAGATATCAAAAACATTCTATACCCACAAGATCTAGCAAATAATCAAGCTAAAATCGTGCAAAATTTATGAGCGAAACAAACTCAATCCTCGAGCAAACAAACATACCAAATAATAAAATCGTCCAAGGACGATACACACAAGTATGTAAAAGATAATTGGTTGGACAATCAAACTTTTTTACTTCAGGATTCGAGATTTTGATATTTATTCCACAAAATGCTTCAAGTCACAATACCAAACCAATATCTACTCTTCCAGTGTAGAACCGACATGTGTGTGTGTGAAGAATTAAGAAATCAACCATGATTGCACAGTTGTTTCAATTCCCGACCTTTTGTGGTCAAATACACCTTACATTTTTCGTAAGATTCACTCTTCCCCAAACTTACACTTTTTCACTTATTTTCAGTGTGTAACCTAAGGTTGAATATTTCATTACCATCCTCACCCTCTCAAGTTCAGGTGGACGTTACTAGTTGCAAGTCAACACTTCAGTGAACAGGGATTCTCCAATTATTTGATTGCTTCAACCGCCACGACTCAACTAGCTAATTATCCTTCATCGAAAATCAAATTTTCTCAAATAAGTATTAGGGCTTAACCAAGGTATTTAGTGCTTTTTCTCTTTTCATGCACTTACTTTTTATGTTTTTCACAAGTTTTTTCTCTCTCTTTTTTTTTTTTGGCATTTTCTCCATTAACATTTCTAGATGACTCCTGTAGCAGGCTTTTGGCTAATGACTCCAAAATCAGATGATTTTAAGGCACTAAGTTTTAAACACCCTTACAGGCTTATTGACCCGAGTCAAAAGGTTTCGAAGAGAACTAATTTTTTGTTTTACCAACTTTAGGCTGATAACTCTCAAGTCAGACGACTTTAGGGTACCAGATTTTAAGATATCCTTGCAGGCTTAATTACTCGTGTCATGAAAACTTCAAAGAAAAGTTTTTCAATTTCAAATGTATATGTCTTGATTAATGCAATGCCCCTACTACACACTTATTCAAACAAACTGACCTTCAATTTAAGACTCTCACCTAGTTTTATCATGTTAGTCTAAGATAATCCATACATAAGTTTTTACACATGGAATCCAAATTCACATCCGCATCTTCCTACAACTGTAAAGTCACCACCCCCAAACTATGCTAACTTTGGTCTAAGGATAAATAACTTATTATGGTTTAGGTAAAGTATCTATGTCCAATTAAATCAACCTATCTAACAAATGAATCAACTCGTTTCATCACAATGTCAAACTCAATTCTGGTGCACGTATAATATCGAGTTTTGCCAAGTTAAACTTCAATCAATCTAACATGCATCCTATCCACAGTTCATAAATCAACATCAAATCTCAAAGTAAAACGTAATTGTAAGCCAAAATGTCAAACTCAAAAAAATTTCAGGTAGGCAATTAATAATAATACATTCCTCCAAACTTAAACTAAACATTGTCCTCAGTGTTAAATTTAAAGGAAAAGGAGAAGGACTTCCCTGAAACGTTAGTATTGCCTATGATGTTGTAGTGTCTTGGTGATGTATGTGATCTACTCTTCTTCCACATTCTCCCCCCTCCAAACTTGAGATTTGTCGCATTTTCTCCATGTCCATATTGAGTTGAGTCTTCTGCGACATCATGTTCCTGAAAAATCAAATTTGAAAACTTAAACTCATGGAACAAGGGTTACTTAGCTCAAACATATAATAACCAACTTAATTACTCAAAGACCAATGGGTAGAAGGGGTATGGGTGATGATTCCTGAATAAATTATAAATTAAACTATCATAGAACTTTGAAATCAAAATAAATAAAATAAATTAAAAGTTTGGGTTGTCTCCCAAGAAGCGCTTCTTTTAAGTCATTACCTTGACTTGTGCCGCTGATTTATCATGGTGGCCCAAACCAAGTTATTCCATCATTGCACTTTGTGCAATTTTCATTGATGCAGTCCTATTTTGCTCTCTAGATTTTGATTTGTCCATTCTTATTTCTACTAAGAAGTTCTCCAAAATTTGGTTTTTTGTTCTGACAGCTTTGTTGATCAGGTGGCTCTTCTTCATCAATTCTACAACAATTATTTTTATTGGGAGGTTTCTCATATTGGGTGTAAATATTGAATATCTCTTACTTGTCTTCTATCCTCAAGATTAGTTCTCCCTTCTCTGAATTAATAAAGGTTGGTCCCGTTGCTAAGAATGGTCGACCCAATATAACCGGAATGTCTCGATCTTCTGGTATGTCTAATACAATAAAATCCACAAGAAATATGAAATTTCCTACTTTTAGAGTACATCCTCAACTTTACCATGTGGCCTTGAGATTGTTCTATCAGTTAGTTGTAACGTTATTGATGTTGAGTTGACTTCACATAGTCCAAATTCCCTGTAAATAGAATATGACGTTAGATTGATACTAGTACCAGTGTCACATAATGCACTAATTGAACAAGAATTCCCAATTGAAATTGGTAAAGTAAAACTCTCTGGATCCTTCAACTTGGGAGGCAAGTTGCTCTAATCTTGCACTACTTTTCTCAGGTAATGCCACAGTTTCAAACTCTGGAAGCTTTCTTTTTTTTGTCAACATCTCTTTCAAAAATTTCTCGTAGCTTGGAATTTGTAGTAGCGCATCAATGAACGGAACATTGATCTGAAGCTTCTTGAGAACATCAAGGAATTTTTCATAATTTGTGTCTTGTTTGTTTTTCTTGACCTTTTGAGGAGAGAGAATGGGAGGCATGTAAGCTTTTTCTAGACTTGGTGCTTTGGCAGCTGATGTTTCTGTACTTTCTCCATTTTCAGTTGTGTTTGGTGCATATTTTTCAACCCTTGTAGTTTCATCAATCACTTCCTGGTCATCTTTTTTTTTTTGGGGTCTCTCTATAGTGATCTCTGACGATTGTACCTCGCTCTTTATATTTATGACATGAATATTTTGCTCTATTGACTTCTTTCGAAGTCTTTGAGGAAATGGAAGTGGAGGTACATATACTTTAACTTTAACGGGGGTTAACTACTTTAATTGCCATCACCTGTTCCTTAGGATTTATCATTGTATTGCCTGACAATGTCCCTTGTGGATGTTCTGCAAGTTTTTGTGCTATCTGACAAATTTGTGTCTCCAGTTTCTTGATGGATGCCTGATGATTTTGAAAGTTCGTGTCAATTTGTTAGAACACCTTGTCCATCTTCTGCACATATTGTTGAAACATGTCCCCCAAACTTGGTTTTCTTTCTTGCTGGAAATTGTTCTCATACGAGTTGAAATTACGGGAGCTATTTTGAATAAAGTTTACTCGTTCCTCTGAAGAAGTGAGCATCATGCAACTTTCTGTAGCATGATTTCTCCCACAATTCTCACATACTGAATTGGCCATCATTGCATTTGCTCCATGTGTTTGTAATTTTACAAATAACTCTACTCGTTTTGTTAAAGTTGCTATCTGTGCATTGATAGATGTTGTGCCGTCTAATTCATACATTCCTGCTGCCTTTGGTGTACTACTCTTTCTGATGAGAACATTAAATGTATGTTGACAATTAAGTCAAATAGGTTAATGTTTGTTGCACTGATTTCCTTATGATTGATCCACCAACGGAGTCATCAACTTGAGATTTTGACAATGGTGTAAGCCCGGTGTAGAAGTACTGCATTTGGTTCCTAGAGTAATTCCATGGTGTGGACATTTTCTCATCAGCTCATTAAATCTATTCCATGCCTCGTGATGACTTTCTCCATCTTTTTGTTGAAAAATTTGAATTTTCAATCTGATTTTAACTACTCTAGCCGGTGGGAAGACTTTGTTGCAAAATTTTCTGGTCAGTTCTTCCCATATGGTAATGCTGGCATAAGGCTTCGCATCTAACCACTCCAATGTAGCGTCTCTCAATGTAAATGGAAATAGTCGTAATTTAATAGCATCTTCATTGACCTCAGAAGCATGAAAGTTCTGACAGTTTCTGATAAATCTGGAGATATGCGTGTTCGAATTCTCATGAGGTAGCCCGTAGAACTGCAGAGTGTTGCTCATCAAGTTAATCCAATCTGGCCTGATCTAAAAGTTATTCACCCCAAAATCTGGATACACGTTATGAGAGCGCATGGGTACTGCTATAGGTGTCAGACACATTGATACTAGCAAATCACCTTCATTTATTTCCCCTCGCTTATGCTGTTGTACCGGTTGTGCCACTACTCTTGCGGCCATTTGTCCAATCGATTGAATAGGATAAAGATTTGTTGATTGTCAGTCATTTGATGTTGCTATTTTTGTTTGTGTTCTTTGCGTCTTCATCTGAAGGTACGTTCTGTCTCCGAGTCAAACGATTGAAGATGATCCTCTTTGGCACAGAGCATACAACGAACACAATTTTCTGTAAATAAAAGAAAAATAAACAAATCAAGTAACATTTAAAAAATAAATACAAATTAAGACTAAAAATAATAATCCTCAACAATGACGCCAAAAACTTGTTGTGTATTTTAGTTTCACAAGTGTACGAATAATAACAAATAATAGTGGATCTAAGAGTTCGGATTGTCGATTTCAGAAGAACTATTTTTTAGCACTTAATTCAACTTTTTTCTTTAACTACTATTTGATGGAAATAAATTAAAAATTGTATGATTTGAGTTTTAATCTAAAATCTAGAAAATAAATGAACGTTCACACGATTGATTGGAAAATTAAATAATGAATGGATGTTATGGCTGAATAACTACACCTATTGATCACCTTTACATCTCAAATTAAGATTCAATTATAATATAGTGTTTGGTCGAATTCTCCCATTGTATTCAATTTACCCCTATCGAGTTCTCATTGAACCTATTCAACCAATTAAATTACATATCTCTATGCATATTCAATTTAGTTAAACGAGTTCTTTGTCCTAGGAATTCAATTGTGACCGCAATAAATGGTATATATATCTCTATTAGTTATACCAATATACTGAATTTTACTACATAGTTTAAATCCTAAACTCATATTTCTATTTGTAAAGAATTCACAAAAATCATCAAATTATTGATCAGATAATTTAATGCATTCAACTCATAGCAAAATCAACACGTGGAAAAATTAAAAAATTAAGAATCTTAATAAGAGAATGTAAAGAATCCAATTTGTTACATTATTTGTCATAACAATAAATTTAATTATTCATAATGCAAGAAGAAATATAGTAAATTGTCTTAAAATATATCAACGAATTTGTAATAAAGATGTAGAAGAAAAAGTAAAATTCTTGCACCAAGATCTCTTCCCCTTCCAATTAATGCTTCAAATCTTCAATTACTTGATGTTATTCTCCTTAAATTTCTCTTTTGAATCTCCCTTTTTGTTATCTTGCCTCCCAATGTGTGAAGAACCCCTCAAAAGTATGAGAAATGTGTATTTATAGGTGCCCCTCCGTTTTGGTAGAAAGTATGTTTTTATGACTTTAAAAGGGCCAAAAAATGCGTCCTAGACGGCCTAGACGCAGCGCCTAAGCACTAGGATTCAGCGCCTAAGCTCCACGTCAATTTAAGCGCAGCGCCTAGGTGCTATCTCTCGAGTTCAAATTTTAGCTTTTCTTCAATTTTGTAGCTCCTAGGCGCAACGAATGCAGCGCCTAGACGTTGTTTTTTTGTTCTAATTTCCTTATTTTTGATCTTTTCGTTCGCTTTAGTTCCTCTTTTTGCACCGTTTTTCTTAATCTTTAAAACAACACTAATAATCACATCAAAAACGTTTTATACTCACAAAATTTAACAAATAATACAAAATATCAGGACCTTTTTTTCTGACAAATAAAATATTCGGATGGACCAGTTAATATTTTGAATTCATTCACTCTTCTGCATTCAATCAATTTTTTTATTGCAATACCGCATCACTTTATTGCATGATATGTCACTGTCGACCATTAATTTCTGCTGTGTTCGCCTTAAATTTGATTATTTAAAATTTCTATATAAAATGATAACTTATGTGTACGACTATATTTTTTCGAGCACCGGTTATTGGAACTTAATTTATAGGAATATATTCATTTTATAGTGTTGTTTTATCCAAGAAATTTTGTAACATCAGGCTTTTTGTTTCGTTTCAGCAGCACAAATAGTACTGCCCCATTTGCAGAGTTCACATTTCATGGTCAGTACCTTTGACATTTATCTTCACATCCATAAGAACCAACGACAAAAAGTATTGTCAAACAAGGAAAATAATTCGTGATAAAGATAAGATACACTTGTACGGAAAAAAAATCGGTGCACAGCTCCTGTTGTGGAAAAAGAGGTTGAGTCCTTTAATAAATTTCATTATTAACTATTGTTTTGGAATGATGAACATTTTTTTATTTAATTTTTTTGGAGAAAAATTTCGTTGGGACGGTTGTACCATCCTACGTAGTGCGACTATCGAATGGAGATTCATCACCTCATCGGATGACCCATCTTCACTTAATGAGGTGAGGTCACCTCGAGACTTGTATTTTCTCAATGAGTGATGGTGGGCCACCCAATGAGGCGGTGACTCCTCATTCGACTATCGCACCACGTAGGATTGTGTGACTGTTCCTCTAGAATTATCTCATTTTCTTGGGTTCTACGTTTTGGGTAACTCGTTCTACAAATTTTCTTTACGTTTTTCCTTGAATATGATTTTAAGTATGATTTCATGGAGTGATTATAATATAAACAATTCTATGGCAATGGACAATATTTTAAAATTCAATACATTTTTAATGGGTAGCGTTACATGATATCAAAGTCAAGATATTTATCCTATTATATGTTTCCGATAAAATAGTATGTACAATCTAATTTGTTTAAACAAGTAGTTTTGATCCCGAAAGGTGTTATGAGTAGGTCTAGGCGTGGTTTGGTTTGGGTCGATTTCGACTCCAACCCGAAATCAAAATCAAATGAGTCATTTTGAACAAATTTCAATCCAAACCAACTAACTCTAACTCTTAAACCAAACAAAACCAACCAAATGGTTAGGTTTAGACTTTTAGTCCAAATTAAATTTTTTTTTAAAAAAAATTTGTTTGAGGTTTAGGCGCACTTAATCTACTAACTGAAATAACCAAATAATTTTATATTATAAGAACTATTGACTAACAAATAAAATCAAATTAATAGACATATCAACAAAAAACTTAATTTTTTTTATATATTATGTAGTCTGACTGCCTGAATATAAAAAAAATAAATCTAAGTATAACATAATAAGCTTATTAAATAAATTTTTAGTACTATTACTTACTAACAATATCATAAATTGGAGTGAATCGAGATATAGTTATGTAATTAGAATTTATCTTTTGATTTTGATTTTTTTTAAATTAAGAAAAAAGGTGAACACATTAATGGGTTGGATTGGTTTGGTTAACTAACAGTTTGAGACTCCAAACCATAATTGAACTGACTCACCATGGTTTTGTTTCAAAGAAAATCAAATCAAACCAATTACCTGTGTTGAACCAACTCAAGTCGGTTCGATTTGATTGATTTGATCGATTTTTCAATTTTTTGCCTAAGCCTATTTATGAATGCTCAAAATAATAAAATATTTATGTAAATAGTAATAGAAATAATATAACAAAAATGAGGTCATGGCTAAAGTAGACCGTGTAGACAATACAACGATAACTCGTGCGAAAAAGGGCAAGAACATGTTTAGCTTGACTTATTAAAAATAGGTTAAGCATTCAAAATGCAGATTAAGCAAATCGGAAAAAACCCTCGCATCTATCAAAAAATCATATTTACATACTTTAACGTTCTCACCACAATATATTAGAGTTCAACGGTTGAATAAAACTTGACTTATCCAAAAACAAGTTCCTATAAGTCACTATTTGTCTTTTTATATGTTTATTTTCAACCACATATTCACACAATAAAATATACTGTACGTAAATTCAAAACTTTTTCTTATTTTTCAATCGTATATTCTCATAAAAATCATTATTTCTTGGAAATAATAGCCACCAAACTTTGTTCTCCATTACATATTACTCATATAGGATAATGCTATGTAACATAAAAAATAATTTAAACTTCAATTTTCCTTATTTAGGCGGTGGCTCTATTTTTTTTAGTTTAATGTCTAAAAGTACGTGATGGTTCCAAGAACTCTAGAATCGTAATGAGTTGTCCCCCACCAACTCATCATGTACTCCGTATTTGATTGACTGTTAATTTACATCTCGAATATTTCTCCTCACGCGGTTCCAAAATATAATAAACATAATTAATGAACTGGTTATCTAATAATTAAGTTTATTCCTCTTTATTTTAAAAAGGAAACTTGAAACTTTGTACTTATTTATCATTTTACAAATCAGACAGAATCATGGATTCATAGTCTATTGCATCATGGTCCTTAATTGTTAAGACAATCAAGGTGGCAAAATGGAGTAATTATTTTGGCTCTCTATTTGAGTAAGTTTATCAAGAGATAGGCTGATTTTGTTTTTCCACACGTATTAAGAAATCATATTTAAAGTTATTGAAAAAGAGAATTTTGCCAAAATCTTTCCTAGTCCACCATTATTTATATTTGTAAAAATGAAAAAAAATTGATTATAATTAGACAAATTAAATAAAATGAACAAAGCAAAATATTCTCAATAAAGAAACAAAATTATATAATTGAGACAAGAAAAATAAGGAAAATCGACCCATATAAATGGAACGGGAGAGTAGTAGTTATTAATGTCACTTTAAATTTAATGTTTGATTTTAATCCAATAAAAAGCTAAACTTATAAGTAACTTTTTAGCTTAGCCAAACCACGACTTTGTAGGTATAAGATGTTTCTTGATCATTTCTAATGAAGATATTTGATATGTATTTGTCATTTGTTTATTCAAAATGATTTAAATCCATGTTGAAACACTTCAAAAACTAAAAAAAAAAAAAAAAAAAAAATTACGGTCGAGTGAGTAGTGACGATACCATTACATTGTATCATAACATACATAAGAGCTGATGGATTAAATACAAGATGGAACAAAATGATATAATCCATCAAACAAGATGGAACAACATTGTGTAAGGCTTGAAGATGGCTACAAAGTACAAAATATATAATGTGTAAAACCCTAATCGATAAAAACCCAAAAAAAAATCTAAATGCAAAATATAATTTGTAAAGAAATATGAATTACATATCCGAGGAACCTGGGATAGAATAAAATGCATTGTTTTGTTTTCAAGCTCCATTTCCCTATTAAACCTAAGGCCATCTTCAACGTTAACCAAAATTTGCACTATTTTACACTAAATTAATTTTTTTTTTCAACCCATTACACCAAAAGTTGCACCAAATGAATTGTATTTAATCATTTTCTTCATTTTTCATTCTTTACAATTTATATAGCTGAAAAATTATTTATTTATTTATTTTACTACTACATAAATAATTAATTTCATTTTCGAAAATACTAAATTCGTTAATAGTTTTTTAAAATGTAGTACAATTAATAAAAATACCACAACTACGTAAGAAAATATTAAATCATGTTATAAAAAATAACGTGGTACATTTCGAATCCCGATATTATGATATGACAAAGTCGACCTGGTGTTGTAATTTAATTATCGAAATTCGTAAATTCATCCCATAAATATTCAATTAATAATAATAATAATAATAATAATAATAATAATAATAATAATAATAATAATAATAATAATAATAGTAATATTGGAATTTGAACGTTCCTCAATTATTATTGTTTACAATATTAAAGTTTGTTACAAATAATAATAATAATAATAATAATTAATTAAGGATTAAAATTTATATATAGTGTAAAAATGACACGAATACCATTAATATCATTTGGTGCCAAAAGAAAAAAGGACACAAAGTACTTTTTTTTAAATTACCACAACATTATTCACTTGTACCATTTTAGCCCCTGTTTGATCCCCATTACGTTCAAATGGAAATGGGGAGTATAGTATTTTTTAGAAAAATGAGTGGTTGAAAAAGAAGAAAAAGTTTTCGATTTACGTATAATATTATTTTATGGAAGATTGTGTGGTTGAAAATAAGAGAGAGAAAAATGTATTGTAATGTAATTTAATTTAATGGGGATCAAACAGGGACTTATATTAAAATGGTGCAAATTTTGATGTTGGATTGGAGTGACATTAAACCAAATATTTGGAGTTACCTTTAAAACCACGAGTGCATATACAAGGGAAAAGGTAGAGAATTGATTTAGAAGAAGAATTGCGGGTGCGAAGACTAGTTTGTCACAGCAAAATCAAACTTGTCTCAAATTTCTCCTTAATTAAGCATGCTAATATATCGAGTTAATTGTTTCAATGATTACCGAATTTAGGTTCATGTATTTGATTGGCCACTGAAATTTTTGGTTATTGAACTTATGTCCATGTTTTCGATTGCTCATTGAGTTTAGGTTTATGTCTTTGATTGGTCACTGAAATTTAAAAAGTCGAGTTTTGATCACTGAATTTAGGTCAATGTTTTCGATTGTTCACTGAATTTAGGTTTATATCTTAGATTGCTCCCTGGATTTTAAAATGTTGATTTTTGGCCCCAAAACTTTGAAATGTACTGTACGTTACTCATTAGTATAACTGTTGAATTTTGAAAAATATCGAGTTTACAGTGAGTAATGTACAACATTTTTCAAGTTCACTGAGTAATGTATAATATTTTTTAAAATACAGTGAGTAATGTACAACATTTTCAAAGTTCAGTAGTCAAAACTTGGCATTTTAAATTTCAATGAGTAATCGAAGACATGAACCTAAATTCAGTGATCAAAGCTCGAAAATTTTTAAAGTTTAGTGGTCAAAACTCGACATTTTAAATTTCAGTGAGCAATCAAATATATGGACCTAAATTCAATTACCAAAACTCGATATTTTAAATTTCAGTGGTCAATCAAAGATATGGACCTAAATTCAGTGACCATTGGAACAATTAACTCTAATGTATCTGTACATCTTCAATTGTAAATATAGTGCTTATTTGGTAGAAATTTTGATAATTGATTTTTTGACAGTTAAAATGACGATTTTAATTAACTTTTTAACTGTAACAAGCAAGCTAATATATTTACCATTTTATCTTTCTTTTTTCCCGCGCTTTAAATCCAACCTTTATTACTTCATGTCTTCCTCTCTCTGTCCACCTTCGACACATCACCCACTAGAGTCAAACCAGCGTCTCTGCTTTTCTTTTTATTTTTCATTTTTATTTTTTCAATTTTAATCCCCTTTTTTCTTCCTCTTTTCCCCCAAATTCATTTCACTAACACTCTCTTCAGTTCATAATCGTAAAAAAATTTCCAGTTTCGGATCAATGGATTCAATTAGACCCTGCCCACCTCCAACAGAAAGCAAGATTTCCAAAAAATTCCAGAAAATTTTTAACCTGAAAAAATCTGCAAGAAATCCTTCAAACCCTGGATTTTGCTTACTCATACCACAAGAAAAACTCAGATGCTGTGAATCTGAAAATTTTGAGAAAGATTTCAAGGAAGAAATTGAAGATTCTAAGAATAGAGCCGCCATGGAAGCTTTTGTTGCCAAGCTTTTTGCTACCGTTTCTGCAGTCAAAGCAGCTTATGCTGAGCTCCAAATGGCCCAGTTTCCGTATGATAATGAAGCCATACAATCTGCAGATCAAGCTGTTGTTGATGAGTTAAAAACACTTTCAGAGCTTAAACACAATTTCGTGAAGAAAAAAATTGATTCTTCACCACCCCATGTGACACTCATGCTTGCAGAAATTCAAGAACAGCAGTCTCTTATGAAGACATATGAGATTACAATGAAGAAAATGCAGGTTGAAATTGAAAACAAGGAGGCCCAAATCTCTGTTTTCCAGCAAGAACTGCAAGCAATCACTGAAAAAAACAAGTCAGTTGAGAAGAAGCTCAATGCAAGTGGATCTTTTTCGATTCTTGACAACGTTAAGTTTTCTGACGTTAATCCCAAAGATTTTATTACTGTCTTGCACTATGCATTGAGATCTATACGCAATTTTGTGAAGTTCTTGATTAGAGAAATGGAGTCTGCGAATTGGGATATTGAAGCAGCAGCGAATGCAATACATCCTGAAGTTGCTTTCAACGAAAGGGATCATAATCATAATGGTTTCGCCTTCGAATCTTTTGTGTGCAAAGAAATTTTCAGTGGATTCAATTATCCATATTTTTCAGTAAAAAATGATCAGCCGTTGCTGGAATCTGATTATCAAAGGAGAGTTTTCTTCTTTGAGCAGTTCAAGAAGTTGAAATCAATAAGTATTTTTCATTTCCTCAAGAACAATCCACATTCTCTGTTTGGGAAATTCTTGAATTCCAAGTACCTTCAAATAGTACACCCAAAAATGGAATTCTCAATTTCCGGGAATTTGCACCAGAGAAAGATGGTGAATTCCGGCGAGTACCCGGAAACTGAATTCTTCAAAGGATTTGCAGAAATGGGAAGAAGAATTTGGCTTTTACACTGCTTGGCATTCTCGTTTAATCAGGAAGTGAGCATATATCAGGTTAAAAAGAACTCCAGATTTTCTGAAGTGTACATGGAAAGTGTCACCGATGACATTTTCGCCGCCGGAGATGGTGATTTTCGGGTGGCATTCACAGTGGTTCCGGGTTTTAAAGTCGGTCAAATCGTGGTCCAAAGCCAGGTATATTTACTCCCGGCAACAATCCCGGCTAAAGTATAAAGTCGGTTACCACTGTCCATATCACGCGCTTATCACGCTCCGGTAACGGCCCCTGACAAAGCGCAACGGTAATGGTATCCTCTCTAAACCCCCATTATTTTTGGAAAATTGCATTATAGGATCTAGCCTATTATTTTGTTGGCAGGATGGTCACTCATCTTTATATTGTAGCAAGTATATATTTATAATTTTATTACACTTGCACAATTAGCGTCCAATAACAAAAGTAGTTCACACACATCTTTAATCGTCACGGGATCTTGATAAAGAAAAAAAAAATTGGGTTGATGCCTAATAATTAGAAGTTAAAACAAATTTTAGAGAGAATCACATGACAATTTATTCCAAGTTTGGATACAGTCAAATTTAAACATTAAACTATTTATAAGTTTATTGAGACTTGATGATATTTGAATGCTTACGTAGTTTAAGACTAATTTTGCTACTACTTGCTACTTTTTAAAGATTAAAGGCCCAATTGCTATTGGGTCAATAGGTCGAGGACCAATATTGAAATTTATTTATACCCACATCACAGTTAGCACTGGGGAAAGTAAGTTGGTGGAGGAACAACGGTGATGGTGGCGGAACGGTGGCGGAACAGTGGCAATGGTTGCGGCGCGTGAAGCCTGTTCATAACATTGGCAGTGGGACCCATAGGCGAAAGGAATTGAGGCAAAATGTGAACTGGATTTTTGGAACTTTAAGGAAAATTTTTATTTTATTAATAGTGGGGGTCCTATCTAAGTATTGTTTTCCTGAGCAAAGTCCGCAAGTTGTATGTACTTAATGAATATTATTTTAATATATAATTAGATGTAATTATGTAATTCAATTATTTCATGTGAAGATGTTTCTCTAGAAAGGGAAGAACCATGTCTTTATTTTAAAAATTGGACCATTATTTTTGTCTAAAATAGAGAGGGGCATATCTCAAGGTTTTGTACATTACATGTTGATGTTGACATAAAAATATTGAAAATTTTAAGTATAGCTTTCATTCCAAATTCTACAAGAAAGACGAGCGAAGTTAGTCATGAATGGGGCAAATCATCGATTATCATATATTAAAGTCGTATTTTGAATTAGTTTTAAAAGAACTTAGACGGGTGGAGATTAGAATCAGAATTTTAATATATTTTGATAAAGTTGATGAAATGTGTAGTTAAAAAATTGTGGGAACCAAGAAATGTGTTAAAATTTAGGAAAATAATTATTGTACATAACTACTTACACAATATTTTACATAATGATAAGGTAGCAAAATGGTTAAATCTTGTCATATTATATGTTGGTAACCCATTATGTAAGTTGTAATGTGTATGTAGCGCAACCGTGAAATTAATCGTTGAAGAACGAGAGCTTTAACTTGTTGAAAAGGTATAAGTATACACACGGTTCATTTGGCAAAACTTATGTTTTTGTTTTTACTTTTTGTTGAAGAACGTTTTGAAAAATTTATTTTAATTTGATTTTCTTTGTAAAATCTTCTACTCAAACAAAATATTTTTTCAAAAAGTTATTCAACGTGTTAAAAATCAGCTTTTAAATCTCAGAAACAATTTTTGATTTTTTAATTTTTTTTTATCGAACGAACCTATAGAATCGTAATTGTGGGGGTTTCATAATGAAGTGAAGTAGTGCTGGTAAAGGGTAGCTGTTGGATTTAAATAGATGTCAATTAGTTAGGTTGGTTCTCATGACCGTTTATGGTGTCGCTGGGCCTGAATTTCGAACTGGTACAAAATTACCCCTTTGGATTGGTTTGATTTTTAAAGATTGGAAGGCCTCTTAGAAAAGTGGGCTTATCTAGAAAATAACTAAGATCCATTTGATTGCAAAGATGGAATTTGGGTAGAAAAAAACGAATTTCAGGGAATTGAATTGCCTATAAATTATTTTCCTGAAAATTGTAAATTATTTTGTTTGATTGGTATAATTTTCCACGTGAAAAATGTTAAAATAAAAATATTTTTTGGTTTTTGTTTGGTTTTGTTTTACATAAAAATTGGCAGTTAAAGAGATAGATTTTACAAGTATTGGGGATGAAATTTGTTTTCATTACAAAAAAAAAAAAAAAAAAAAAAAAAATTCAAAAAAATCATCTTATCTTTTGGTGTTCGTTTGACTTTGTTTTACATGAAAATTGGGAATTAAAGGGAAATATTTTTTTACAAAAATTCTTAATTTTATTTCTATTGCCAAAAAAAAAAAAAGGAAAAAAATTATAAATACCTGGAATTCCATTTCCCACCTATAAAGTGGGAAAACAAATTCAATGAAAAGCAAGAGATGGTCACTGTGTGAAGCAAAAATGGAATTCCAACTACCAAGAAATAAATGCCTATCAAATACCAACAAAAGTGAAAAATGGAAAACATTTTCCATTTCCAATGGAATTGGAAGTGAATCAAACATATCCTAAGAGCTTATTTGACAATCATTATTGGAGAAAAAAATTTGAATAGTGATTTTTAGGAGAATATGTGATTAAAAAATAAGAAATTTTTTTTGGTATATGTGTAGTGTGTTAATTGTGTGAATGTATAGTTAAAAATAATTTTGTAACAAATTATAAAATAAGTTAATGGGCATCAAACAGGCACCAAGTGATTCAAAGGAGAATCAGTCTGGATAGAAGCTAAAATGCAGTTCCATGAAGAGTCATTTTCCAGACCATTTGGCCAACACTTGCCATCACGTGAGCCTACAAAATCATTGTTTTTTGCATTCTCAGCAATTATAAATCACCTTTCTGATACGAAGTAATCACATATTCATGGTTCCATAACTTTTTCAACACATACTTCATCGATTTTTATTTTTTTATTCAAAATTTATTAAAAATATAATTTTAATTCCAATAAAATAGGTGCGAAAATACATCTTCACACGTTTAGTCCAATCTATTTATATATTTTAGTGCATGCTACAGAGTAGTAAAATATTCAACCAGCCTGCAATTTTTGACGGCCAAAAATGACGCTTGGTACCATCCATACTGGGCCAATCGAGCCACATAGGCCGTCGGATTTTTTACAGAGGAAATTATGCCTAGTCTTGCAATTATATCGAGAAGATGAAATATCATTTACAACATAAATTTAAAAATGATTATTATATTTACACCATATTTTTTAATAAATTCAATATATATTTGTTACTCCCCATATTAAATTAATCATTAGAAGCAACACGTGAAAGTCCCACTGACGTCATCAGTAGAGTTAACCCAAACATGTGAAAAGTCGAAGCTACAAGGTTATGATGGCTATAGAAGCCGAAGTCCTTATTCAGGCCAAGGTGCCACTCAACCAGATACATGCCGAAATCCTCATATTTGCGACCTGCAGAGACTCTGAAAAACGAGGTTGAAGTCCTAAAAGATGAGGAGGTTGCGACCTGCTGAGGCTCTAAAAAACGAGAAGGTTGCGACCTGTCGAGATTCTGAAAGACGAGGCTGAAGTTCTAAGAGACGAGGAGGCTGCCACATCTGCTGACTTGAAGAATATTTTTGTGAAAGACTGATTAGACGCCTACTTTATCTTGTGTCAGGAATATCAGCCTAAAAATATAGGGCAGTTGATCATTTGTCAATGTAATGAATGCATGTGTAAGAAGGACGTGTTTGTAGAAGAAAGAGGTAAGAGCACGTGGTTTGGATCCAACGGTCATCACATCTTCCCCAAACTTTATATATACCCCCATTAGGAAGAATGAAAGAAGAGGAAGAAAAAGAGATATGTGTGGAACAATAGAAACAACACATATATAGAAAAAGTGAAATGGAAGAAAACCCAAAAAAGAACAAGGAAAGAGTATATTAATTTTGGGCACATTTTGGAGAGAAAAATAAACACTACTCCATACATTTCGAGTGATTGGATCTCTTATTCGTTTCCTTTCTTTTCTATTCATGTACAACTGTTCCGAGTATCTCAAAGAGAAATTATATTCGCGCATCTTCACGTTTTCCAATCAATTTAGCTGGTGTCCAAACTATTTAGTCACGCGTCGAAGGCGTATCTTCTGTGTTCAATTTCACCGCCTAATCGAACAAGCAATCTTGTCCTCTGTTTTCAGTTTCACTGTCTCATTGATCAAGCAATTTTTTCATCGCCTAATTGAACAAGCAATCTTATCCCCTGTTTTCAGTTTCATTGCCTAATCGAACAAGCAATTTTAACACATCGAAATTTGTCTGTGTGGACGTGTGTGGACCCAGCACCTCTTGGCCATTCTTGGAGGTCAACAATATTAATTGTATCAAAGGCCCTTAAACTATTCATTATCACATTTATGTCTATAACTTTTTTCATCACACTATTATTCTTAACATTTCAATAATAAATATTGTCATTATTGTTGGTTTTCATCTAAAAATTATGTTAACATACTTTAAATCATGAAAAGAAATGATTCTTCGTATTTTTTTTTATTTTTTATTTTTTGCTTATTAAAAAAATATGAGGGCAAATAATTTCTTTACTTAAAGAAAACTTCAGGACATAAATCATATTCAGGAAAAAAATGTGCTAATTAATATGAGTTTGGAGATAAAAATCCGACCAAAAAAGTTGGACCAATATTTCATTTTTGGATTAGATTCTTGCAATAATCAAAATCCATATAATTTAATTGAACTTCCAGAAACACTCTCTCACAAAACTAACAGAGGATGTAGAGTCATTTACAATAGTATTCGATGTTCTGACTGTTTCGCGCGTGTTAATTCGCTAACAATTAAAAAGGATCAGACGATTGTGTAAGGGACAAAACCTCTTGAGACAAAGTCCCAAAACGGGGTGTTCTTTTTATTGGCGATGAACTTTACAATTGGAAACGGAAAACAACGTGCCTCCAAGGAGCGCAAGCACACGAGTTACAGAAAAGGAAGTGTTTGAGTCTAAAAGCTAAAGGAATGAAAATTACATATTCTCTGTTCGAGAGTTTTGGATTCGGTCTTTTGCTTCTAAGTTCTTTCTCCCTTTTATACTTCATAGGCGATCTCTTTGTGATTAACTGCTCTAAAAAACTGCTTGATCGCCCTATAACTACCCACTTTCTTTGTAGTGGCCATTTTGTCATGAAACTGTCCTTTTAACTGCTGTCATTATCTTGCATCGTTCAACCGCTTTCGATTGAACCCCTTGAGTCGTGGAACGTGATAAGGTTACTTTAGCAACTGCCTCAATAACTGCATTTCTTGATAATCATAATGCGTTATGTTTGTTGATACCTTGGGCGACTTGAAGATTTGGGCGAGACTCTGGGCGACCGTATGCCACTCTATTCGTTCAGATTCTGAGCGACTTGCAAATTTGGGCGATGGCGTTACCGCACTATTGGGCCCCTTATTTGGGCATTCACCTTAATTCGTTCAATTGGATTTCGTTCTTTGGGCTATCTGATTTGGGGATCCTCCAATTGGGCTTTACTCTATGGGCTGTTCGATCTGGGCTGAATTTTTATGTGTCAACAATTACCCCCCAATATGGCAGAATTAATAATAATTATTGAATTTTGCCATATTCACTTCACGTCTTCAGCAAGGTTCGCGATTCCCAAAGAATTTCAATCATTGTTTCCTTCTATAACTTGAAAAGGTGCGTCGCTTTGCAAACCCTTATAAACTCCAAACACACCATTTTACTTGTATCTTTTATATTCTTGTAATGAACGTTTGGTAATAAAGAACTTTATTTGAACGTATTTCGCTCTGTCTTTATTATTTTTTGATCGTCCAGAATGTTTGGTTATATTTTTATCTGTTCGCAT